TTGAAATGCTAAATTTTAAAGAAATTAAGATGACACAATTATCACTTGTGGATTGCAAATCATGACCTATCTAGTTAATAATCCAGTCAATTAGTTTTTTGTGGTTAAAAAGAAAACTTACGTAAAAGAAGAATTTAAATGACAAAATGTTTTATAAATAGGAAAAAACATAACCACAACATTTAACCAATACATGTATATTAATATGAGTGAGTGAATCATAATAGATGAGGAACTTTCTAAAGATTATAAAACAACCAAAAAAATTGACTAGTACATAATTCAAAACTTTAGGGTATCTATTATGTAATTAGTTTGAATAACGCATGAAACCACAAAATACGATTTCAAGGAAAATAAAATCGGAAATCAATTAGAAGATGACACCCAACATCTGACACGACACGAATCAAGAAGAAGAAATTAAACAATCATTTATTGTATTCTAGACATTCCAAAATTAAATCGTTTAACATGCAAAAAAACACGGATCGCATTTACTTCACCATGCACTGATAGCAGACCAATGATTTCAAAGAGGTCAGGAATACATTTGAAGACCAGCTTATAACATTTTGAAGACCACCTTATAGCATTTTACTTCCGTTGTCCAAATCAAGATGTGGTTTATTATAATTACAGTTAGAGCCCACATATTGTCGTTGTTTCTAAGTCTGCGCCCATTGAGGAGTAGCTACCAAGGATGTTCCCGTATAAATTAAAGCATGAGAATCTCTACCATCTATTAGTGTGTCTGTTAGAATTTTCAGGAGCAATAATTGTGACTCAACAAACAGTCTAAAATTCATTAGACGTGACTCAACTTATTTCCTTGGGATCTGTTGTTCTGTATAGCTGTTTGTAGCTCTATATAAACAGGAGCATAGGAGTGTTGGATAGCTCATTCAAACTCCAACCTCTCTCCCTTTCCCAGACCTTGAGGAAAAAACTCCAAAATATTGATCTCCCACAAAAAAAAAAAAAAAAACAAGAAGAGATCGAGTGCCAAGAGAGAGGAGCCCCTAAAAACACTTTTGAGTTTTTCAAAAGTCGAGCTTAAAGAAGTGTTTGATCCGACTTCGGCTATTGAAGTATAAAAGCACTTCTAAAACTCGTGCTAAATATAGTCAAAGATAAACTGATCTTTATCACCGCTACACAAAAACAAATTGTGAGTTTTACTGATATTGTATAACATTTTTCTCATGTTATATAATAATTCCGAGTCTTGCTCATGTAATATAACAATCATGAATTTTACTCATATTATATAACATTTTACTCATGTTATATAATAATTCCGAATCTTACTCATATATCATATTATATAACATTTTACTCATGTATCATGGGTTAGCTAACTTGGAGCCGGATCTGAAGGCGTATTGCCTGTGCTGACCACCCCGACCAAGGACCAACAGTTTTGGAAGCACGAGTAGACAAAGCACGGGATTTGTGGTCTGCCAAAACAGGAGCAATATTTTGCTAGAGTGTGTATCCATTCATTCCACTATTTAATTTACAGTGTACAAAGAGCGTGTGTCCATACGTTTGCAGGGAGTTGGACTAACGGCAGAAATGAAGGAAGGTCAAGCCCGCGTGAAGAAAGAGTTGCGGGAATTCTGCAGTACACACACTCTTTGTACACACGCTCTTCTGCTCTCCTGCTTCTCGGGCTACCCTGCTTCCGTCGGCGACTGCTTTTCGAACAGTACTCGACCCACAGGAACAACATAGCGCCAACAACGACATCATCCCACCGCTTACGATCCGACAAACGAGGTGAAGCTGATGTACCTAGTGGTGCAGTGACCGCCAACTGTGTGCCGCTTCCAAAAATGCCATGCGGGAGTGAGGAGCAAATAGGATGGTTTCACCATCCACGGCCTTTGGCCGCTTCGTGGCCCTCCCAAGTACTCAACTGTCCCCACCAAACACTACAAACCAGGAAGCAAAAAATTTGTTATATAAGGAGCCACGACAGCCCCTACCCGAAGGAGGTTTTCTGGTGCGTCAACTCATAAGCAACTCAACTCGTCAGCTGCTCAACCAAGACTCCGTTAACTGCTTGTCCAAAAGATAGTGATCCGATCAAGCTGTTGGAAATAAAATAATTATTTCCTCTACTTATATGGTAGGCACGTTTGTTTGTTTGGGTTGAAGGAAGGCTTTGGTTTTTTTTATTTTTTTTTATTGGAGGAATGAATGTGATTGGCAAAGGAAAAATAGAGAAGTGTGTAGGCGGGAAAGAGAGCTAGGGAAGAGTGAGTATTCCTTGTATTTCTTGCTCTTATTTGCTTCTCTGCTTTCATTCTTACAACACACAAGCCTATTTATACTATCATCCCAAGACTCTTCCACCGCCACTAGGAATTCTCTAGGCTGCCCTATTAGTGTGAGCTACTGAAACATGAGACTTACATTATTTTGGGTAGTTGGCGGGTAGGATACTTGTTTCTTCAACTACTCCAGATAGCTTTGTGGACATGTCCATAGAGCTCTAAATATTTTTAATTAAACTTATTAATTTCAACACAGGCTTCTTGCCGCTCCTCCCATCTAATGTCACGCCCTCCAACTGACACATGCCACCAGTACTACCTTCTTACATATTACATAATATGGTTTTGTCGAGTTGATGGCAGCCTGATTTGAGCTTTCCTTAGATGTGTACATAACTTGGTCGATTAAGTTTGACTTGCTGAAGCAATCACCTCACAGTCCTCTGCTGTGAGCTTGCTGGGCCAAGACAAAACCTTCTGTTGTAATAAATGAACTACTACTCCAGTTTCATACTGGCTTATTAGGGGCCTGTTGATCAATCAATATTCCCATTCAATTTCATTCTGCAACAGGTCTTGAGACTCTTAAGACGAACAAATGATGTCAATTGCGATGACAATAATATTATTACAATAATAATAATACAAGTTCAACCTGCCCCTGTACTCTAAACATGCTATAACGTCCCCAACTGGTCAGAATGTCAAGGGTACCATCATCGACGTTAGGCTGGCAACCAACATGTCTAGGTTCAATCTTTTCAAGAATGGATTAGAATTATTGCATTATCCTCCATTCATCTCGAGATAATTCATTGGCAAACCTATCAGATACAATGATATAGATAAACAATTTCTTCATGCTCGACAAGATACATGCTTTGAAGTACTTTTACTCTCCTGTTTGGCTTACAAAAATTTGCTTGATCTAAGCTACGAGATCCTCCTCGTCCTCGAAACTCAAATTCAAAGTCTGCAACTTGAAACCTGAACCTTGTATGAGCTCCACAAGACTAGACGCCACTCCTGTTGCTTGCACTGTGGTTTGCTTTGTTAACTGAATTGAATACAGAAAACCAAAGTGTCATCATTCAAAAACAGATTAGCCATTGACAATGAATGAATAAAACCTACATTTGTCCTTGCAATTCATAAAGGGAACCATCTGTAACATTTCTCCCTCAAAATACTTCTAGCAATCGATGTGGAGTATGTTATGCAGCAAAAGGTATAGATTCAGACCTGGACACTGGCAATACCCTCGAGCACTTGAACCTTTAATCCTCCAACGCCTTCAGTCCCCTGCATAATAAAGAAGTGATCAAGATTCAATGACCAAGAAATCAAATATATGGGACTGAAGTAAACAATAAACAAAGAAAGAAGCTCATGTTATCAAACACTTGTTATACTCCAGACTCGAGAGGAACTAAAACTGTCCCTTCCTTCAGTTTGTATACAGCATATGCAAGTATAAGAGATGAATTCAAACCTCTTGTAGTCTAGTTCAACCAAATTCTCATCCCATTCATTATTATTCCTTATAGAGATTAAGAAAAACTCTAACTAGCTGACAATTGATTCCATCGTATCAGAAAATATACAGAAGAGACTGCATGGAAGGATTTAGCTTGGACGCCCGGATTATCTTCAATTAAGAATTGGATTTTAACTACTAGAACATAATCTTCAATCTAGAATGAATTGATAAATGTTCAGAGATAATGACGAAGTTGTGCAGTTAGTTACCTCTAAAGCCCTGGTCACTGCGGGAATAGCTGCGTCGCTCATAGTTCCCTCCGCCTACAGTTACCCAAAAACATCTATCATCAAGAATGCACTCCATATCGAATCAAAAAGCAATTAGAAATGTACTTCGTATGAACACAAGAACACAAACAAAAACACAGTTCACAAACCCTAGTGAAATGTTCATCCTTTCACCCTTCTGAATCCAAACTTGAGAAGCTAAAAAGAGAAAGCGTCGAACTTTCTTACATCAAAGTACATGGTAAGAGTGTCGGAAGGAGAGACGGGGACGGACACGGTCTGCTGTTCAGCAGCAGCGTCTTCCTGGGTTGCGACTGGCTCTTCTTGTTCTGGGATTAAGGTATCCTGCTCGGCTGACCTCAGTCTTAAGGAGCAGCGGGAATTCCGACTCTTCAGCACGACGGCGTTGAAAGAAATGCAGAGTTGATGGCTTCTGAAGTGGACGGTAGTTGGAAGGGGTAAAGACTTGGAAGGCGGAATCCAGTGAGAACTGGGAGTAGATATGGAGGGCAGAGTCGAGGATGAAGCTGCGAACGTCGCCATTGTCGAGTGATTGAATTCAATTCCCACAGAGCTTTTGGCCTTTCGACACTTCGCACTCTACTTTATCCAATTCATCCACAAAACTGGATGCTTTCAAGAAAACAAAGGGGACAATTACTAAACAGTCACTTAACTTCGTATCACTAACAAATCACCCACTGAATTTTGCTTCTTAATGAACTTGTCACTAACAACTAACAAGTAAACTAGGAACAAAAAAGAGTAAAAATCTTTTTGTCAGGGTCTTCGATTAATTGTGCCAACACTAGTGTATTGATACACCAAATCAGTAATAGATAAGTAATCGAAGACCCTGTAAAGCTAAAGGGTGAAGGCATTATGATTTCTACAATTTATTAACATCTATGTCGTAGTTTTTACAATTTATTTGATTTAATGAAGGATAATTCGATCAAAAACCCGAAAATATAAAGACAATGCATAGTTGTTATGTTAGTTCTTTCAAACATACGACACCTTTGTTAGAACATAGTTAATCGACTGATTCATCAGTGACCCCAAAGTTCAGTGACCATTCCTATAATACAGCCGAAACGAAAAGGTAGGTTGAGAATGAAGGTATCATAAAGGAGCTTACATCAGAGCCGTCCATTTCAGTTACTAACAGGTTAAATTATCAACATTGGAAGCTGCAATGTGATATCTAGCTTCAACAAGCCCAAAAGCTAAGCAAAAACATATAAACAAGTTGCTGCACTGAAGTCATTTCTATCCCTACCCCTTCCTGGCCTGAAGCTTAAATTTTGACCCTTTACTCCAACCTGACCTCAGATGGTGTCAAACTACTTGGTGATCAAAGCCTCGTGCATTTGCCCATCTGCATAAATGATCACTACCAGAATTTGTCAGACCCAAATACTAAGCACCAGAGATTAAGAGGAACACCATAAACCGCTAAAGACGGAAAATAATAATGATAGGTAACAATGGAGGTGCAAGTTCAAGGGTGGGATATGACTAACCCCTGAGCTGAACAGCCTGGTTTGCCAGTGCATCAGCTTCAGAATTGAATTCCTGGTATAACCAATTGGTTTCTCATCATCCTCAAATTCAGACCACATTAAGAGTAAACAAACGATTCTAAATCAGCATATATACTTACCCTCAGAATATGTCTGATCTCAAAAGTACGGAACTTGTCCTTGAGCGCCTTCGCCTCGTTTCCCAAAGCAATTATGTTCTGGTTTTTTAACTTCCATATGCCCTGAATCTGTCCACACAATCAGACAGTAAGGACTACGAGCATGGCTTGCAGTGCAGTTGAAAATGACTATAACTTCATGCAGATGAATGATATAACAAACCTGCATACAGACAAGATTAGAATCCCCCTGTACACTAATGTCTCTAAACCCTTTTTTGAGTGCTTGCTTCATTCCCAGAATCACACCTCGATATTCAGCAACATTGTTCGTTGCAATCCCCACACCTTCAGAGAAACGCCATACCTGCACCAAAAAACACCCAGATGAAAATCTGCACAATTTAATTCAAGAAAAATATAGGAAACCGTAAGATAACTTTTGGTCAGGTCAAGGAGAACTTGCTTTACCATTCTTCCATCAGGGGAACACAAAACAGCTCCTGCACCAGCTGGTCCAGGATTCCCTTTTGATGCACCATCAAAATAAATGATTGCTGGCGACTGGGGTTAAACATAATAATTCACATTGCCGTTAGAAACATATATGCTAGTAAAGCTCACAAATCAAATCAGTAACACATCAGATTAATATGACTCAAATAATTGTATGGAGAAACTGAGACATCGGAAAGATACTCAACACGGTTATTTAAAAGAAAAGAGCTTTAGAACAATGTAGTATACTGATGTATTTGCAAGGACAACTGTTCATGACAATGTTGAATTAGGTTTGGGATCTGAGTCCTCTATGATGCATAGATCTATCACCTTTCTCAAACATTTATGTTTAGGGAGATCTTATGGACACGTGATAAAGATTAGTTTCATCTAAAGAGGTTGACCTAGAACCACGGAGACAATTCAGAACAATCACCACAATGAAACTGTTCAGGCATGCCTACACGCAATGAAACTTAGGAAACAGAATCCTGAAGGTCGTAGTCCAGCATTGCATGCTAGAGCAACAACGAAACTGAGAAACTCACTGAGCTGGTTGGAAGTGGGATGCTCCTTCCATCATTCTGTAATTTCGGATACATTTTTGGCGAGGTTTCCATGACTATAGCCACTCCACACCTCTGTTCCACAAAAGTTAAAGAGAAACCAAACGTTTGAACAGCGAGTTAATCACGATGTTAAAGTGACTAACACGTAAATCTTGATTGACAAAATGATCGTTACAAACCACTAATCTGCATACTTCCACGGATTAAGATGTCAAGTTTCTAGTTCATAAGTAGAGATATGCTCAATACCAGAAATGCTATGTCTATACTTGCTAAGGACATACATGTACAGTGGGTGTTTCCTGATAGCGCTCTGAAGAAGACCCCTTGTTTGAAGCTGGAGGCTGACAGAAACAACAACCAATGTGTAAGCCTATAGATAACACTTCAAAGATACACTATAAAGAAACAAACTAACACTCCTTACCACAGCAAAACTACTATCAAAATCTTGATCAGATAAATAAAAATTCAAGAAAAGAAGGCATTAAAACAACAACAATTGCAAATGACCAGAACTGGTAAAACAGTAAAGCACTTCGCAAAGAAAATGTTGAAGTTCTGTATCCACATTGACTGAGATTCCATACACCCATGAGAAAGCCTTTTTTCCTAAATTGTAAGCTACCTGGATGCGGCAAGGCTCAAGTTTCCCAAAGAGAGCAGCCTGAACATCAGTGGCACTGACAGAGTAAGCAGCATTTCGGAGCCCAAGTGATGCAAGGTAATCCTCAGCATCTCTCGGCAAACCATATCCTTTGAATACACTGACTGAAGGATCAGAAACCTAGCAAACCACCATGCCACAGGTGAGTAATCCAAGAATAGACATCGCCAAAAAGAACATGCAGAATGTCAAGAAAGAGCAAAACATTGAAGGGTTTTCATACTTAAAGCAACAAAATAACGCAACTAGCCAACCCACTTGGAGTAAAAGCAATCCTCTTTAGCAGTCGTTCATCAAAATGACGAGTACCCACAAGAGAATTTCATCAATGAGCGATTGGGTATAGGAAGGGAGAAGCAACAGCTTACAGAATAACCGGCTTGAGCTAGGCAGTCCGGGAAGCTCTTGTAGATCCCGATCATACCGCCTTTCCTTACAACATAGAAAGCATCTTTCTCTCGCTCCATAGCTGAGAAGCAACTTCCTTTCTAGGTTTTAGAAGCTTGGACTGAACTGGCGGAAGCAAGAAGGAAAGATGATGTATGAGTTGAAACGAGGTAAAACCGTAAAAGGGGAAAGTGGTCGTTTTCTTTCTTTCTTCACTTCTCCCACGGTTCGACCCTCTACTCTTGCTGTAGTAGTAGAGTCCAGTGACTCCAGTCTAACAGCTTATGATTAAGCCTAAATCGCAAGTGCTTACGTTCCCGACGACGATTGACACCCACAACTGCCGGAATTTGAAACGTTACTGGACGTCGGGAGAAGAGACGGGATCTATTTTGGGCTTTGGCGGGAAATCAGAAATATTGGGTCATTTTTGGGCTAAAAAATCATCCAAGCCCATTATCTATGGCCTACAATGAAACCCCTTACGCAAATCAAATTATCAATGCCTACAAATAGAAAACCCAATAGCTAGCTCCCGATTCACGTGCTGCCGCCGGTGAATGCTGTGCTGTGATCGACGGGAACTATGAATAACAAGAAGACGAACAACAACAACAACAAAGAAATTAACTTCCCGGGGGAACTCATCGACGGAATTCTGCCGAGACTTCGCATCTCCTGCCTCCCGCGTTTCCAGTGCGTCTGCAAATCATGGTACTCTCTCCTCTCGGACCCTAAATTCATTTACAAAACCCTCTTCTTCATCGAGAACGACCGCCGACCCGACGACACTAAGATCCTCCTCAAGCTCGGGCTCAAGCGTGACGGAACAAGCCGTTCCGTTTACTGTTCCCTCTCATTCGATTCGCTCACAGTCGAAACCCCTTATCGAGATTTACGACAAGACCTCGGCATTAGTCTTCCCGATCGTTATCGCAAGCAGCCCAGTGCGATTATTGTGGGCTCCTGTGGTGGCTTGATTTGCCTTACCTACAAAGACCCCGACCCAAACCCCGATGTCGCTCAAAGTATCGACTATGAACGTATTATTCTGCTCAATCCGGCCACCTCGGAGGTAAAGTTGCTCCCCCCTCCCCTGCATCTGCCCTGGTCTGATAACTCATTATGTTGGAGAACCGCTGGCTTCGGGTTCGATCAGCAGACCAATGACTACAAAGTTGTTAGGATTCTTCGTGTGGAAGTGAGTCTACACCTACTGATCACAAAAAACCTTGCTTTCGCATCATGGTTCATGTGTGTGGTATGAGAGACAATTCATGGCGGAAACTCGACGATTCTGTTGGTATGGTGTTGTGGTTGCGTCCATATGTGGGACTAGATGATTCTCACATCCCACAGTATTGTCCTAGAGTGAGGCTGAGTGGGAGAAAGAGCAAATGTTTCTGGGTAGGAGGGGAGAGTGTATATACAAACGTCTACCAAAGTACCATTACAATTGTTTCGTTTGACATGAGCATTGAGCAGTGAAGGGATTCAGGCCAGCAAAACATTGCCAAATCCCTGCAAGTATGATCGTTATGTCGATGCTCCTGTTGTGTTCATGCTGAAGGATGAGAACATTGCACTCTTTCATTGTCAGAACCGCTTGCCTTGCGCAGGTGGGGATGTCGAACGGATTTTTGAGATATGGGTGTTGCAGCAATATGGCGAAACTGTAGGAGAGTGTTGGTGCAAGTTATTTTCCTTCTCTCCTCCCCTGGGTATGATGAGATTGAGAAGGCCGAAAGGCCTATCGAAAGATGGGAAAGTGATTTTCAACAGTAATGGTGATCAACTACTTGTCTTGGATCCTATTACTGGCAAAATGTATACTCTGCCAGTTGAAGAACGATGCTTCTCTGTTACAATGGAAACCTATACTCCGTCGACAAGGCCATTAATCGAAGGTGAAACGAAATAAAAGAATGATGATTAGGGAAACAATAATTTGGAACTTACAACTACTGGTGGCTTTTGTGCCTGTTGATTCATCAATTTTGTTATGCATGGTCTTTTTTTTTTAATGTTAGTCTGTATAATCAAGTGGTGATGATCACTCCATCTTTCTATAAGGAACAGTACTGCTTAGTTATCATGTTCCCTATCAAGTGACATGATCAGTCTCAGTATTAATAAACAAGACCTTTCTGATGAAGGTCGAGTTAAATTTTATTTAGTAAAAAAGACAGCTGCAGAAAAATCAGCAACAAAATTCAAGCATAACCCACCAAAAGGGAAGAGAGTGACCAAGTCATAAAACTACCTTTGTTATGACTTATGAGAGGTAACAAGGGGAGGAGACATGGCATGCTGGGCAAGCAAAGCAAAGCAAAAATAAAAGCCCTGCCTTTTCCATCTGAGAAAATGCAAACAGTGAGGGAAGAAAAAGAAATAAGGCCAGGATGGGATTGGAATAATTTGATCTGGTTTTTCTTAAAATTGTTAAGAAACAATAATTGGTTTTCAATTTTATTTTTGCCCAAAATTGAAATCGGAAACCGAGTTAATCATATTTGGTTTAAGGATATTTGCTCACCCAAACCTTGCAAAATGAAAGATGTTATAAATTATAATTTCTCAGATGATTCGATTCGGGGCAAATTTCAATACTTTCTATGCTAAATCTATGAGAAGAGCTTGCAAAATGAAAGATGTTATAAATTATAATTACTATTATTGATACATTGAATAAAAATTACATTGTACAAACTCAATTTGAATCTAATTAACTGTTTCAAATCACAAAACAAAACCAAAAAAAGTTTTCCTATCTATCGTCTCTTTTCCTTCCACTCGTCATATATTACCCCAACCCAATCGAGACCATTTGATCTCGATTTCACTCAACCATCCCCTACTCCACTTCACCAAATCATTCCTTTCGTATAAGCACAAAAAACATTGGCTTATAACATGCCCCGGTCCAAAACGAAATCAATCAATTAAATTGACAACCCGCAATTCCCTCTATTTTCAGCTAACTTGCTCCCCAATCAAGTCCAACCCAACAACGAGAAACGACAGCCCTTGGAACAGCAAGAAGTAGAAGTGAACTCCGTGAGCCGACAACAAGCTCCTGGCAGCTGCCGTGAGAAGCAAGAAAGCCAGCCCCAGCTCCTTTTTGTACAACCTGTTCTTCTTCTTCTTCGGCGCCCCAGCCACCTCGGCTTCCACTTCCTTGAGCTTGCTCAGCAGCTCCAGGCCGGACTCCGAGTGCCTCCTCAACATTGTCGTTTTCTCCTCGCCCACCGTGGCAGGAGCCAACTTGGATTCCCTCTCGGCCAGGGCTAGCAGGTCCGACTCCGACGACCGCCCGGTTTTCTTGGTGACGACCCACTCGTACGAGCTTCCAAGCTGGAACAGGCCCGAGACCATGGCGTTGAACTTCGTGACCGACATTGTGTTCTCGAAGAGGAGGTAGGGGACAAGGAAAGGGAAGGATTTGGGGGATGGGAGGATGTTGAGGAATGACATGAAAATGGGGACGTAGCAGATTACCCAGAGTGGCAGCTCTGCCTCTGGGATGAACATGGTTAGTGGGAGTATGATGCAGAATAGAGTGAAGGAGTAGAAGGGCAGGATTAGTTTTCTTAATAGGAAGAACAGGAAGATCAAGTTGGCCTTCTTCCACATTGATATCTGCAAACAACAACAACAACAACAGCAAAAAAAGATTATGACTTGACAATGATTGAGCTGAAATTTAACTACAAGAGAAAAAAAGTGTTACATCAATCTGACAATTCGATTTACTGTGACGAATTGGGTTTGATATAGTTTAAGCGTCTTCGAGAGTCGAAAGATTCCATGTTAAAACCCTAGTATCCTCTACAAATGACAATGAACTTAAGTGCAAAATAACGGGGATGCAAAACCGACCTTGGATTTGAGAATGGCAGGGAGGCAGAGGCGGAAGAGCTGCATAGGCCCAGAATGCCACCGATGCTGTTGCTTCTTGTAAGCTTCATACGACTCCGGCAACTCACAAAGAACCTTAACATCATTGAGGTACACGAACTTCCACCCATTCAGGTGAGCTCTTACTGCAATGTCCATGTCCTCCACCGTGGTTCTCTCAAGCCAACCGCCGGAATCCTCCAACGCCTTGATCCTCCACACCCCTGCGGTCCCATTGAACCCGAAGAAGTTCAAGAACATGCCGTTCACTTGCTGCTCCACCTCAAAGTGGAAGCATAGGTTCACGTTCTGTAGCCTTGACAGCAAGTTCTCATCTTTGTTCACAAACGACCAACGAGCTTGCACCAAACCCACCTCTGGCTTCCCCTGCAATCAAAACCGCGACCCACTTAACGTTAAGAGACCAGCCAAGTAGGTTCAAATTAGAATTCTCATAATTTTCCATTTCGTTTAATACTATCGGATGGTATGAACATTGCGAAAAAGAGAACTGTGGCACACTTTTATATGACAATTGTAACATTTTTTTGTTAGTGATATTAGTGACATCTAGTGTTCAACGGTTTATAAGTCCATCAAAATGATGTTTAAGAAAGTCTATCAAAATGTGGTCAATTAAAGGTTCGAACTTTCTAAAAAATGACAATTCAAGCACAAAATCCTTAAAATGATATTTGTTGCATAGTATTATGACAACATTTATAGCATCTCATATTTAGCTGACCATTAAAATTTAAAAAACTCATTTGCATCTAGCATAATCGTATACTAACTAGAGATTCTTGGTTTATACAATTGAATGTGAAATGGCACAAATATCAACAGTTCATAAATGGTGATATCCATAAATGTCAATTTGAAAAGTTGGTGAAGAAAATAACGATATAAGTAGGTGGTTAGTTACCTTAAAGTGGGGGATCGTGAGTTGGAGGAAATCTGGGTTGGGCTGGAAATCGGCATCCAAAATGGCAACGAATTCGTAGTCCTGAACGTAATCACATCCCATTGCCGATTTAAGGTTGCCGGCTTTGTACCCTGTTCTAATCAATCTATGCCTGTAAATGATATTAATCCCCTTCTGCCGCCATGAATGAACCTCTTCATTGATCATAAGCTGCAGATTCGGATCATCTGAATCATCAAGAACTTGAATCAACAGCCTGTCTCTGGGCCAATCCAACTGGCAGGCCGCCCCAATTGATGTCGCGTAAACCTAAAGAACAAAGCCCCAATAAGAAAACAGGGAGATAAAGACAGAAAATTCAGATCTGGGAAATCAAATAGAAAGTCGGCAACTTTACTTACCTCTCTCTCATTGCACATTGGAATCTGGACAAGAACCATTGGGAAACTAGAAGGGTCCTCGACATCGTAATCGTCGCCGTTAATTTGGGGCTTCAATTTCTTGAACTTGATCCAGAAGCAGCCGAGGCAGAGCACGAGCCGATCCAGAGACTGAATCAAGAACAAGACGATGCAGAATTGGGAGAGCATCATCACAGTGGGAGCAATGTAATCGAGTCGGAACGAGAGCCAGGCCATGTAAGACCATTGGACTAGCCCCTGAACTTCCCACGGCGGCTGGACGAGATTCAAATTCCACTTGTTGTAGTGAGCCACGACTTCCACCACGAGTGCGCCGATTGAGATGGCGAGAAACGCTTTAATAAAGTTGTATAACTTCCCTCTACTTCTGGGCTCCATGTCCTGCTCCTCTACTTCGTCGGCTGAGGCCTCGGATTGGGAGACCCTCTTCTTGATCGATTTGAAGAGGGAATTGGATCCGACTGCGAGCCATGAGATGCAACTGAATGCTCTGTAGATTTTGAGCAGAATGGAGAAGGTGAACTGCTTGGGGCTCGCCGCTTTCTGCTTGTCGGCAGGAAGCAATGGCGAATCGTCGCCGGCGGTGGCGGCGTTGATTTGGACTACAGATAAGTTGTTTGGCTTCTCGATGGTGACAACCACCGAGCTTGGAGCCATCTTCTTGGAAAACAGGGGAATACCCAGATCAGGATTTCTGGAATCAACAATCGGGTCGACCTTCGAATTCAGGTTCGTGGGATGAACATCTTTAATTTCCAGGTACTGGAATCTGGAGGGGCTTTTATGAGATCAGAAATGGGAAAACGGAATCCAGAGAACTTGAGATTGAGACAAGTGACGGAAAACAGAGAAATGAGAGAGAAACAGAGGAAAAGAGAGAGAAGTTTCCTCTCTAGGGAAGAAAAGGGTATTGCTTTTTGATAATGATTTGTTTTGGAGGGCCAATATATAAGAGGGGGGAAGAAGAGTCAAATCTGCTGATATTTACTTGCTCTAATTGCGGGATCCAGCTATCTTATTACTACTCTGCTAATTGTTTTTCAACATTAGAAGAAGAGAAGTTCAAGTTCAGCGCATCAGAGAGTCGCCAGTTGGGGCTCGCCTGCCCCTTCTGCTGATCATCACCGTCTGATTGGTTGAATAGAAAGTCAAACTGGAGATCATGTTTGCACATTTCTTACATAATAATTTAACATTTTCCTAAGCCGGTGCAGAATTTTGATTAAGTTATGGTCTATGAAGGAGGACACTCTAAAAGAGTTTAAAAATGGGGGAATTTGGAAAGAAAAGAACTGGGGATTGGAAACAGAGGAGAAGCCCATAATGTGAGAGGGGAAAGTGGTTATTAATTGGACCACCGGAATGGAAATTGTAAATTATATGACTTTAAGGGAGGCCACATCTAATTCTTAACAGAAAAATGGTGTTGACAAAACAACAAGAAAAGAAAGCTCATAGTTTTGGAACCAAAATTGGGTGTGAAATGGGAAGAATCTGGCCACCGTGTTGAATGTGGTAAGTGTAAGTATTGTACTCATTCATTTTTGTTCATTTGATTGGAATAGGACGACAATAATGTGCAAAGGACCGAGAAACAAAATGAATTTAGAAGTGCATTCTTGTTTTGCATATTGAGAGTGTAAAAATATGGATGAATATGGCTACCCTATTTATTGTTGTAGTTTTAACAGTTTATGTACAAATGATAACAATTAGCATAGGATTGAGAATGAAAACGAATGTAGAAGTGGGTTCATGTGATTCGCATTTTACAATGAGTATGAGAATGAGAAGATTATTATCCTATAGAATCTGGTAGGCGTAAGTATCACTATCACGTTTATGTGCGTTGTTGTTACTTAATTATAAATCGAACCACAAAATATGCACAAGATTTATAATATAAAAAAAAAACGTAAAAATGGATTCAATGACTAACCCAATATTAAAGTAAGGAAGGACTAAAAAGTAGAGATTGCAACCGTTTCTCAAATTTAACATATGTCTTACGGAGAAGAACATTGATCCTTCTTTAACTACACATCACTCTGCCAGTAGCACGATAAATGCACAAGTAAAGCACTTATTTGTGTCTATCAATTGAAGTTATGAAGCCCAAATGGTAGAAATGACCATAAAAAATAGAAAAATTCTTTAGGACTGACAACTAGATAACAGCCAAGTTGCAGCAGGTGGCCATCCCCCACCAGAACTCCTGCTGTCTCCTCTATCTCTTCTATTCTATGGTGAACCAAAGTCCAGTGATATGGCTGCTAGCAGGAATGGCTCTGGTTTATCCTTTACCTAAACTTGCTTTTTCAGTTATCTAGTCTCCGAAAAGAACATTGGAGGAAGGAAAATATGAAAAGCTAAATATCGGTTCCGTATGATCATAAATTACTAGGAACCTTCTGGTCTAGTACTTGAATTAGCAACTGGATTAGTTCACATATAATATTAACATGGTGTTATTTAAGTGATATCAACGCGGCTGTGCCTGGATTAGCTGCATACTTTTCGTTTAAAGGACAACAGGCTGTATCCATGTACTCTGCGACAGAGAGATGGTCGAAAGTAAAAAAATGTTAAAACCCTAGCTAAAACTTTAGTTAAGTGTAAAGCTTTGTTTTTTGTTGATAAAATTAAAATTAAGTGTGAAGCTTAGAGTTGGCTGTATGCTAAACATCTCACACAAGCTCGAGTGGAACCCTTCAATTGGTAGAAGATGTAATTTAGTTATGGTTAAAACCGAACTTATATCATATTATTCAAATTGTTAAGAGAAACCATCGGTTGAACAATTCAATCGAAAATCATACTTTGAAAATTTTTAGTGTTTGATTTTTTGTGGCATTTGAAGTACACCTAACTTTGGATCGGTTGATTGAACATGATTATGTTGCAAAGCCAATCATGATCCTTACACAAATCAATAGCAAATATTTTAATTAAGATAGAATGCAGTAAAAAAAAATTGTTAACACCAAGTAATACCCATTTCAACGAGCCGATCAAATATATGAAGATGGACAATCTTTTATTTGCGATTGAGTATGTGTAGACACGACATAAAGTCGCGCACAACAAAATTAGCACGGAAGAATAGCTACTCTAACCTGTGAATTAACAAATGTCAATCAGCTAATATAGTTAGGGCTAAAACACTGTGAAATAATCATTGATAAATTATTAGATATATATTAAAACGTAGGCTACTCACCCCACTAGAGCATTAATCAAAGTGGGCACAGCACAGGCAAAGCGACACAAATATTTATGTAATGAAACATTTTGTGATCTATCTGCATGTGGCCTAAAATAAATGACTTGCCAATCCACATCAACATAATAATGTAATACCAAAATAAAGCTAATTTTTTAGTAATAAAAACCATCATAAATACAAAAAAAAAAACATATTAGTTAATTATACTACTATAAAAAAAATAATTAGCAACTTTACAAATTAACCAAGCAAAAGGAGGACAGTAATATATAGTGCTTTCGTGGGAAGTTCATTTGAAGCACACCTAAAAAGCCATTAATATTGTGACAGATTATTTAGATTTATCGGGTCATTCCTTATTATTAGAAGAGCACATATTTCATTCGCCTTGCGATTCTCTTGTTTATTTGTTGATTTTGATCAATTGGAGCTGAAACCTCTAAATTCGCTATAAAGTAGACGTTAAAACTTCATTTGAACATCTTTTTTAATTATGAAAAACAGTACTGGCCTGCTTTGTGAACTGAGGACATGGTTTGTTAGCATAGAACAAGGAGCAAGCCATATGATGCAATTAATTGAGTAACTTAACCTCTATCTGTGAGAAGGATAGTACTTCATTTATTAGAGTTTTCCTCTTCTCCCTCGCTACACTGCTGCCATATCATGTTAGTTTATTCAGTTACATAGCATTTTATATCAATAAAATTTCAGTTTGATTTGGCCTCTCATTACAAAGAAATTTGCTAGCTGTTTAATTCCTGGAATCACGGAGCATATTCTTTGCTGTTCTTCATAGTTATATTCCTCAGTTAGTCACATAGAAAGGGACCCGGTGCAAGTGTTGGATATTGTTTTCAGACTCAACGAGTAGCTGGTAAATTCATTGAATAAGGTGAATCGAGCTGAATTAGCTAGTCTCGAGTGATTTGGTTGATACAAGATAGGAGATATCAAACTAGGAAAAAGTGCTAAGGTGGTAGGTACCAAACTAGCATCGATTCGTATTATATAATTGGTAGTGCAATTTAAAAGAAGAATAATATTGGACTAATAGTAGAGTTTGGTCGATAATCAAGAATAAACTTAGACAATCTTGACCTGTATTATCGTGGAGATTGGAGGATTGTTATGAAAGTCACAAATGTATATCCATTCTCCTACTTTTTTCACAATCTCATTCCCCCCGGCTTCCTTCTCTTTCTCGTCTTTCTACCTCCAAAACTCGCTTAATCTCTCATCTTCCTTCTTTAAACGTAGACCTAGTAGATCAATTTGGGATGTCGGGATTTGTTGTTCGTCAAAATCTTACACAATTGAACATGAAATCACATTGTGTTGACTACCCAAACATCCCATCAATTGTGGGGCGCTAGTTCTGATCATATATATGCCGCGCCAGTTCCTAAGAGGTATATTGTTATATTGCAGCACTAGAATCCAGCTGCCAATTTTGAATGTTTCGTCGAGTACTTATGGTTTGCCTTTTTGACCCTTTTCCCCGTGCTTTCCATGATGATTTGGATTTTGGGGGCTTTTAACGAGGGGGCCAAACTCGATCACCACTTTGTGATCATACAAGAGAACGAGTAAAGGAAAAATCCAGGGGAAAGAAGAACCCACTACGCATCCGTTACAGCAATCCATATTCCACAAATTGCACCGACACTATCAAATTGCACGAGGACACAAGAATGGCTGAATCGAGTGCCCCATATATATCATGTGCGACGAAACAATCATGGAAACTATGATATGGTGATAATCAAAATGATAAGATTATATACCCCTGGAAAAACAGTTAAGAGATCTTATCAAATCTCAAAATAATTGTTTTCCCCCTAACAAGAGGAGTCTGAATGCGTACCTAATCGGAAGCCGTCACATGAAAGTATATAATTTTGATGATAACCACCCAATCGGTATTCTCAAAGATGACAAATTGTGGGTGTTTATAGTGATTTAGGTCAAACTCCAAGTAGAAAATGTTGGTCGGCCATTTCATCAGTTTGATCGGCCAGAGTACTGTAATATGTAGTGTATAGTTTGTGTGGCTTATGACGGTCAATTGATTTCAACAGGAAATGCATATATAAAAAAATTTGTAATTGTCTACCTGCAGGATAATAAAGGATTGATTGGATCATACGATAAAACAGTCGACCTTGTGCATGTGAAGGGTTTTCAAAATGTTATCTATGTATAGACCATTTATGTAGAACAAAAAATTAAGGTGACCAATGGTCCAGATTCATTAGTCAAGTTAACTCAAAATGAGGAATTTTTGTTTTAATGAAGGTGAACTCAAAATGAGGATTACTTATAGTTAATCCCAAATCACAGTAACAAAGTTCTAAATTTGTGTAAATCGAAATAAAAAACACATTGTACGTAACTATCCGAAGCATACCCTAGTGTTGGTGGTTTTTTCGAAAGAAACTAAGCACACAGGAAAAGCATGTTGAGATCAGTAAACAAAGTGGGAAGCTAATCCCAACCTTTGCATGATTTGTTAAACACTCAACACTCCATGTTAAATTCAGTTACTCTGAATTCTTTCGAGACAAACCCATTATTGTACTACCAGTGGAGTTTAGGGTTAATGGGTTCCACATCAATTTCCGTGAGAGCTAGCCTTTAATGGCTACAAGCAACTTCAAACTATTTCGACAAATGATTAGATATGCATGGCGAGCTATCATGTTATAACACTATACCATAGCTATGTTTGCCTAGGGAATGCTGTTGCTGCAGCCTGTAGATGATGTCCAATGAAAAATAATTGACCAATGAAAGGTACAAGCCAAGGAATGAATACCCCATAAATTAACAAATGGGTAAGAAAGAAAGCCACAAAGAACCCATCTGCTGCAAAACATGGGGAGTGTTTGTCATTTTTAGCTAGAGAGAGGATCAGAATTCAGAAGACATG